CTTAGTTAGATATTATTCTACAATATGATTTTCTTGCACAGCATTTCGGTGTAAATTTGTAGCACATTGTATTGAAGTCATACCATATTCATGGACACTTAATTTGCTTCTGTGTGTTATCAGTTTTGTTTTGTTCTCTGTATAAACAATACCGCTTTGAGCACCCTTGTAGGTAAATCCTTCCACACCGTGGTTATTTAATTACAACACAAAACATGAAACTACATAAATCCAACTACCTAAAGGATAGGTTGGATTGTAATGCTTCTAGTATATGCGTCATAAATTGATTTTCAGAAAATTTGTTTCCAATGATGAGAATATACCTATTTACTTGCAATATTGTCAACACTGGAGTGTATTGTTTTTGATGCATTTTGTGCTGATTTAATGTGTGAAATATTCTATTTCATTATTTTTGTTACACATATTTTATATTAGGGATTTGGGACTTCTTAAGTATTTTTATAGATCAATTGTGTTTCCTAACTTCCTCACTCAACTACTGTTCATTTCAAGAAACTTCAGCAACCATCGTCTAGGTTTTATTGTCAGTAACCTAATAACATTCTTTGTGTCTTTTTTCTTCTGTATCCAATCCCTTATCCATTTTAAATATGTTTGAAAAGTTAGTACAAAAGTCAAAAAGGAGGCCAGGCATGGTGGCTCACGCCTGTAATCCCAGCACTTTGGGAGGCTGAGGCCGGCGGATCACGAGGTCAGGAGATCAAGACCATCATGGCTAACATGGTGAAACCCCGTCTCTACTAAAAATACAAAAAATCAGCTGGGTGTGGTGGCGGGCACTTGTAGTCCCAGCTACTCGGGAGACTGAGGCAGGAGAATGGCGTGAACCCATGAGGCGGAGACTGCGACTGCAGTGAGCGAGATCACGCCACTGCACCTCCAGCCTGAGCCGACAGAGCGAGAATCTGTTCTCAAAAAAAGAAAAAAAAAAGGCAAAAAGGTTAAAACAAAGTTAATACATACAATGGCAGAAAATTTAAGCAATAAATTTTCACATCAGATGAAATTCCACTATTTTAAACCATTTTTAAGCATGTAAACTCGTGGCTTTTAAGTACATTACACGGTGTTTGTGCCCCTGACCACCACTATCTAGTGATCTAGTGGCGGATCTTTTTTTTTTTTTTTTTTTTTTTTTTAAAGAAGAATCTCACTCTTACCCTACCCAGGGCTTAGAGGGCAAGTGGCATGGTCCCTGGCTCAATTGCAACCTCCTGCCTCCAGGTTCAAGCCGATTCCTCCTGCCTTAGCCTCCTGAGTAACTGGGATTACAGGCATCTCGCCTGGAACTTTTTTTTTTTTTTTTTTTTTTTAACTTGCAAGATCATCCATGTTCGTCATATTCCAATACTCATTCCGCCGTTTCACGGCTGAATAAGATTCCATTAAATAAAATATAACCACATTTTGTGTATCCGTTTGTTGGATACTTGCATTGCTTTCCCACTGGAGGGGGAGGAGACTGGGCAAACAATCAAGTATGGGGTTCTTTAGGAGCTGATAAAAAATGCCTTGCTATGGACGGGTGAGTGGCTCACGCCTGTAATCCACCAGCACTTTGGGAGGCCAAGGTGGGTGGATCACGAGGTCAG